CTTTTAAAAAAAGTTTCATTTTATTTTTTAAAAATATTTTTTATTGACTTTTTTACAGCGAGGAAGAGAGTTAGAAACATCGATGAGAGAGAAACCTCAATCAGCTGCCTCCTACACACCCTGCACTGGAGTGCCCGCAACCAAGGTACATGCCCTTGACCAGAGTTGAACTTGGGACCCTTGAGTCCGCAGGCCGACGCTCTATCCACTGAGCCAAACCAGTTAGGGCAGTTTCTTTTTAATAGAATATTTCAAACAGATACAAAAATATAATAGTACAATTCCCATGTATCCATTACTTAGCATCAACAACCATTGCTTCTTGCTGTTTCTAGATAGTATTTAAGCCCTGAGGTTGGATGATATCGCCAAGGGAGTGAGGTGGTAAGAGAAGAGGGGCACCAGGTCCTGGACTGCCCCAACATTGAAAGGGTGAGCAGATGAGGAGGAACCAGCAAAGGAAACGGAAAATAAGCAGTCAGTGAAGTAGGAGGAAAACCAGACTACAGAGACCTGAAACAATTCCCAAATGACAATTTTTTTTTATTTTTGTTAATCCTCACCCAGGGACATTTTTTCATTGATTTTTAGGGAGAGTAGAAGAGAGAGGGAAAGACAGAGAGAAACATTGATGTGTGAGAAACACATTGATTGGTGGCCTCCTGCATGAGCCCCGACCAGGGCCTGGGCCAGGGAGGAGCCTGCAACCAAGGTATGTGCCTTTGACCAGAATCGAACCTGGGACCCTTTGTTCCGCAGGCCGGTGCTCTACCCAAATAACAATTTAATTACAGTATAAGTGCTGAGGGAGAAGAAGAATGTGTAGCATGAGAACTAGCGTAGTTTGGGGGCCAGGAGAGGCCTCCCTGGGGAAGTGACATTGAAGCTGCCCTTGTCCCTGATCCCATCTCCAACTACAACCCTGCTTCCTTCCTCCGGCTTCCACTCTGACAACGCACTCCTTTCTGGGATGGCTTTTTCAAGGATGTGTCCGCCAGTAGGGGGCGCTGGGGACGCAGTGATGAGAAAGACAAGTTCTGCCTTCAGGGGCTCATTGACCTCCAGTAGACAGACACGCAAATGATTTCTTTAAAAGTGTTGAGTGCTACCATCACATAAGCAGAGCGGGTCTTGAGAGCACCAGGTAGGAGCACGTAACCCAGCTGGGGGGAGTCAGGAAAGGCTGCCTGGAAGTAACACCCGAGCAGAGGATGGACACAGGTTGCCTCCGTGCATACCCTTCCCCCTGGCTTGGCGCTTTCAAGTGTTAACCCTGACCCACCTGCTTGGATTCCCAGTCTGCCTGAGGTCTCTAGCCAGCCCACATCCTGACCTCACGGCTGGGCTTTCCTCTTCTGAACTGGTCAAGCCGGGCATGCCCCTGAAGTCCCCTTTGTCCTGCTCCACCACCCTCTCTGCTCTGGAAACTGCCATTGGCCTGTTTTCCTGGAAACACGCAGAGGGTCAGGCCTCCATCATGCCTTTGGGACTAAGAGTGGCCTAAGGACTCATTTTAAAGAAGATAGATATCTGAGGACAGGCAAGAAGAGCCTGTGGGCAAATCAGTAACTAACCACTGCAAAAACTGAAATCTCCTGCCATCAAGTTAAAGCCAGGCGGGGAGGGAACAGCTTCAATGTCACTTCCCCAGAGGCCGTAGGTTGTTCACCAGGAATCCCCAGCTATGCTCGCAAGGTGCATAGCAGGAAATGTGTTCAATCAATGTTACATGTATAGTTCTTACAAGACTACAGTTCAATTCAGGGCACTAGCCCCAAGCTGTGCTTCCCACTGCTGCACAATTCCCCTAGCTCTTAAGTGCAGAATGCCTTCCTCAGACCAGGCAATCAAGAGGACGCTTTGCAAAGACGTTCATGTGGCCGCTTGATGGCTCTTTGAGGAACAGGTGCAAGCAGTCTGTTTCGCAGCCAGGCTTTTCTTGCATAAATTTCCAATCAAAGGCAACTGTTAGTATTCTCCCGCCGTGGTCCCGGCTTCCGGAGGCAGCACGTTCCAAGGCCCGACACCCAGGGAGTCGCGGCGGAGGGCCGCCCAGTAACCCATCTGCTCCAACGCCCCTTTCCCTCCCCGCCTGCCCCCATCACCGCCCTGGAGCGGGGCGGGCACCTGCCA